GTGTGATATTTGAAATCTTATAATTTCTGTCGTGTTCTAGTCTTTTTTTACCTTACATGACTATTAAGTATTCACTTAAATCATTTTTTTTGTAGATTTGCGGACAGCACTAATCTGTCCGCAAATTTTCACATATTCAAATAGCAAACATGGTTGCAGATATTACCCAGGTGCTATAGAGAGAAAACATTTTTATAAATTACTGTTAAATTATGCAAAGAAAACTTAATGGATCATTAAATTGAAAACCAATGGTCCTTTATATAATAAGAGACAAAAAAAACGACATAAATTAGATTATAATTATTATGCAAAAGAACTACTAGATCGTACATTTTGTCGTTTATTATTATTTTTTTTATTTTTTGCCATTCGACCTTCAATTTTGACTATAGACTCGTGTTCAGTGGTAAAAACTACACTGGAAACAGACAACTACATTGAAAACAAACTAGATTCTTTTCTAGATCTGTGAAACTATTATGTCTTATTTTCTATTATCCAGTTGATTTTTATTTAATTCAATAACATCAATCAACATAAATAATAATCAAAGACTTTAAATAGATTTTAAATTATTTTTTTATCTTTTCATTGTTTTGATGAGGCAGAAAGTACTACATCCACTTATTGTATAGTGAAAATGAATTAGACATGATTGGTCAAATAACTCTGGTGCCCCTCAAACTTTTCAACTCTGTCCCACATTGCTCGAACTAAGCTCAAAAATAATGACACAATTATTATTAATGAAAATTTTCTTTTCTTTTGTTGCCATAATGTTTTCATATCTGTCAGGCAGAGGTGCTTGGTATAAAAGATTATGCAACAGTTTTCATGTATGCATATTTATGCTAATTTATAAGCCTTCTTATATTTGAACATATTTAAATAACTCTTCAATCTTTTTCATATTCAATTTCTTTATAATATTTGTTTATTTTTCTTTTAAAATTATTTTTATCAATAGTTATCCTGATATTGATCGGAAGTTTTCTATATATTTTTGATCCCTCGAATTTTTATCGTATGACGAAGCAAACAAGTCGCCCATTTCGCTGCTCGTATCTCAAGACACTCATATCTCTCGTAAGGCACGATACCACCGTTTATATTTTTCATAATTTATGACTGTCAAAACAATTCAATATGTATAATTTTTTCGCCTTTTCTTCATATAAAGTACTGATTAATTTTCTTTATAATTAATTAAAAAGGTGATCATATGTGCCAAGCAGTCATAAAGTTCTTTTTTATAATTTTTGCTAATTTTCGTAAAATAGAAAATTAAACTTTGAAATTTTAAGCCGCGTTTGAACTCTTGCTATAAGCAATTTTCTTTCAATTCTTATATTGTTGTTTTATGTAACCATACTTGTTGTAAATATCATTTTTGTTATAGTTGTAATTTCATTTTCAAGTAAGAACAAAGATTTAATTTTAAACCTATATTTTTCAAAAATCGGGACAATCCGGGACAAATACTGCTTTTGGAACACAAGGTGGAAATCGGATTGTCCGGGCCAAACCGGGATCCCTTAATATAATCCTTTCGAAATGATCAATTTCCAGGTGCAACTATACTTAACCAAAGCGGAGCACTACCTCACCAGGGTGACCACTTCATGGAAGCAACACTTGTTCCTTCGAAACGTTACGTGGGCAGTGACGTGACAAACGTTAGAAGTGACGTTGACGTCGAACGTGATGTTAATGCATTAATAATGGCTGACACGCAAGATTGCGTCATCTGGCTAATAGCGCAGTTAAATCCTGCAACCAAACCAGCACACTTCCGAGGTAAATGTTTAGAACCAAAGCAAACTATTGTATATTCGCAGTTCGTATGAAGTAGAATCACAATGAAGTAGAACTAAAAATTTGTGTAGATCTTATATCCATAGTTCTAATTACAGGTGAATTAACTTTTGAATATCATATTACAGAAATGTAGCAGCTTCTCAAATGATGCGACAAAGCGATTGCCTGACACTTCCTAGACATGCTGCAGGTGTAATTGCAGAAATGCAGCAAACTCACAATAGCGGTAGATTTAGTACATTGCAGCATCCTCAACAGCAAAATGCAACAAATGGACCACCTAATGGATCCGTTCCTAGACCACCACCGCCTCCAAGGTTTGATGATATAATAATTCATGATAAAAAAATGTTTTTGCATTAAACTTATCGTTACTTTTCTTTATTTTTGTTATACATATTGTATGTATATTTTTATATACATACGCTCAGACTAAAGCTTAATGCAAAATAATTATACAAATTAATATTAATTTAATTAATTAAACAGTACTAGTTTAATACTGTATTTCAGTCATTTAATAAATTTTTATAAGATTTTGTTCGTGAACTGCCGCACAAATCTACTAGCCAAATCTTTGCTAAATGAATACTACCGTCGGAGATTGAAAAAAATTCTTCACTTCACATCTATTCCTGACGTGTAAATTTTTTATTATATACAAGAAAAATTTTGAGTTTACACTATAATATTTAAAAAAACTAGTAATATTATTTATAACGAATGGCAAGTTAACTTCTGAGTTGTTTTTTCCAACGTGTCATTTTATACAATGTCTTTTCTAACTTCTCGTAGGGTAAGTTATAGTAATCGTAAAAAAATGTAAAATGAAAATTTTTGCATATCTTTACGTTTCAAAAGTTTCTGAACATTTTGGCATACCTTAGAAAAAATGTGTGAGTGTGTGTCTAAATTTGGATGCAATTTTTTCGTCGATTCAAAAACATTTTGCTTGTTTTGACAAGATGTAGAACTGATTAAATTTTTAAAAAGGCAGGTCTAGTGGTTTCGAAGATACAGAGGAAAAAGTAAGAAAGAAATATTATTTGGAGGTCAAAAATGATCATTAGACATATATTAATCAAATCATTAGGTATTTTATAAAGATTTTAAAAATGAGTACTTTTTTGGTACAATTTTTGGGTTTCGTACCAAGATTCTTAATTTTCAAAGTTTACTTGTACGGCTCTAACAATATTAAAATATTCAGAAAAAAATCTAATTCTCAAAAATATACAAAGTTTTATACTTAAAACATAAATTTTCAATTTACAATTTATTTTAAAAATGTATATATAATTCATATGCGTTATTCTAAACGTAAGTAACATATCCTCAGATAGATTCGGCATGTTAATGTAACTTTAATTTATAATTATCTATTTGAAAATATTTGAAACAATTGTTATTCATCATTGATCAATATTTCATAATTACTGATTTTTTTTTCTCGAGTATTTAATTATGGTACGGGAAGTTCCAGCAATTTGCCTTAAGGCACGACTAGTTATCACTGACAATTGTAAATTATCAAATTTGCTAAATGTCCTTAAAGGGCACAACTAGTGTGAAATTTTCAAAAAATCAAATTCTCAATTTTTGCATATTTCGATAGGTTATACCTTCAAAAATAACAAACCATAATTTTAAATCGATATCTTAAATAGTTTTTTAGTTATAGCCATTTAAAGAGTATATACGTATATAGTATATAGTATGACGATCATTTAATCTTTAAACGCGTTTTACTCGAAACAGCATTTTCCGAATTTACTGCAGCGATTACTCAAAAACAAATGATCCGATCACTATCAAATTTTTTGCATGTTCTATATATAGTTCTCCGTAAAATGAACTATCGATTTTTGATCGGATCAAAAATCGAATTTTGGCAGTCCAAAAAACGACCAAAATTTTGGGTAAAATTCGACTTTTAAAAAAAAAACGCCGTCATTTTGTCAATTTTTGATTTTTTTTCTTTATCGTAGTTCATTTTACAGACAATATTATCTAGGTTAACGAGATTTTTTTTTTTAATTTTTATCCACGTAGAGAAGGCCGGAATTACTGCAGCAGTGAAGGGCCTTTGTTTGTCGCGCCGTTGGAGATCGACGATAACTTAAAAAATATTTAATTTCTTTCTTCAAAAATTTTACTATGTATTTTTAAAACATGTATAAATATATTCCTGAAATTTTGAAATGATTTCTGAAGTAGTTGTTTTAAATATAAATTCCCAAAAATCACCTTTTTTTAGGCGGTTACACTAGTTGTGCCCCTTAACTAGGCAGTTGAGAATATGTGAATAAAAAAATATGTATTATTCCACACAACTTTCAGATGCCACAGCCCGACAGAGCATAGGCCACAACAACAATTGCTGCAACAGCAAATGTTACAGCAGCAACAGCAACAGCAGATGCAAACTGCTACACTTGGTCGCTCACAAAACAGAGTTCCGCAAGCGGCGCTAAGCGAAATGAGAGTAAGTGATCAAAATTATATTATTAAAAACTGGTTTTTATTTTTTTTTTTATTATTTTCTAGGTATGATGACACGCTGACGAGAAAATCGGAGAACAATGTGATCTATGTAAAACAGCGACACAGTAACAAATTCGGGATTGAGTTGGATATTTTATAAAAGACTGCAGTGATTTGTCCCTGAGTGCTAAACTTAGTGAATCTGTTAAATAAACAAATAAAAATTCAGTGATCAAGGTACAGTGAATTAGTGTATAAACATGATTGAAGAACATTGAGTTAATCTTAAATTTTTACTCAAAAACATTCTATAATATAGTTCTTTATCATTGTGTACTGTAATATTATTGATTTTTTTATACTACTGATTGAAATATTGTTTTTAAAGACTTTATAATTTATATATTGAGACATTTTATTATGGGAATAATATTAATTAATAATAAGCAAAATATCTTATCATATGAATCAATTTGTGGTTAAGATGTTGTGAAATTTTATACAAGTCTTTTCAATGATTCAACATGTAGAAAGTATTACATTGTCTATACTATGTAAAACAGGTCATATATAGAAAGGACTTTACTTAACTTCATCAAATTTTCTCAGTACTTTTATTGAAATGAATACACAACCGGTATGAAATAATCAAAACGTTCTTTTAATTATATTTTATATTATTAATTTGCAATATGATAATTGATATTTAACATAACCAAGTTGATAAACTTTTAAAGAAAATATGTGAAGTACTTTGACACGTTATAAAAATCATTAACCATTAAATTAATTTTTCATTGGTTCACTCTGTGCTAAATTTATATAAAAATATTTATATATAAAAATTCAACCTTAGAAAAACTACATTTTCCGCATATGACCGTATAAATCAATACTACTACGTATTGATATTTATTAAAATAAAAATTTTTAATAAAAAATACTTGATTCATAAGGTATATTTTTTGACAATAATGATAACATCATATTGTCTTTTTCATCACTTAATATAGATGAATACTCTTTTTACATATCTCATGTATATATTATATTTATTAAAACTACGGAAATATAAAGCAAACTTGAAACTCATCATGAAAGTTAGAGAGCTTGTGAATACTGAATCAAACCAAGTAGTAACCAGTAGTGCATGGCATTGTGCCTTAAGGCAAGTTGCTGGAACTTCCCGTACCGTAATTATTTTTAAGAATTAAAATTTTGAAAATTCTAGATATTTTATATAATATTGATTTTTTTTTTAATTTTTTTGAAAAAATATAAATTTTTGAAAATTTCGAAATGCGGAGTCGAAAATGTCGAGTAAAGTCAAACTATGTTAAATAAAGTTTTATAAAATATAATTAATTTTAAATTTTTGTGTTAATAAATAACGTTACACCCCGCTTTCCATATAAAATTGTACTAAAAACTGTCACAATTGTCTCTACAGTCCAAATGCTGGTAAAAGCTACATATTAATAAAAGATACGTTATAAGATAACCTCTAAAATGATATGAATACTTAAAATTTATTATTCGAATTGATTCAGTATGTGTGCAGGCTCTATACTTTTCAAATAAATAAAATTGTGTTGGTGTAAATATATCAGAACAAGTAGTTCTTGCATTTAAACTGCCACTACATGTATATAATAATTGTGATAGGATATGTATTATTGTAATATAATTAATTGTATATACAATTACATTTATATATATATATATATATATATATACCACCAAGTATATTATTCGTTTAATCAATGTGCCAAATATGTTTGTATATGAAGAGATCAATTTTTTACCAGGCAACATACATCTATATGTTAACTCTGTTAAAGGAGAAAATTAGTAAGTAATTTGTAAATAATTTTATATAAATATAGTATTAATATAACAGAGTAGCACATATATGCGCTGACGAATGAATTTGATGATGTGGTAATTTATACTTCAATATGAGTGAAATAATTGTGAAAAGATTAGTTTGTCTTTAACTATACGGGTGCTGTGTTTGAGTGTGAATATAAATATATACGAGTATAAATTTCAATGTGAATTTTTGTGAATGTACGAATATATATTATGAATTGAAAATATTTTATTAGAAACTTAAATTATATAGATAAATAAAAAAATTGTTTTGATTAGCATACGATTGATTCAAACATATTATTCGTTAACTAGTTCAAAATTTTATCATTGTATAAATAACCTTATTTAAAAATATGAATTTATTTACTAGTTGTATAAGCGCAAAATGTAATATTATTCATCAATACATACAAAACCGTATTCTATAATTTTTTTTTTTTTATTACATTAATTATCTTGGTCTTTTTCTAGTATAATTTGAGTCCGATTGCTGGATGTTACTCTGTAGAAGTAGAATCCGAGCCCCGTAAGTTACAAGGTAAGTCCTGATCATATATTAGTTATTGTGCAATGTATGATTTTTAACTTTCGGTAGGGTAAGTTACAGTAATCGCAAAAAAATCGAAAGTGAAAATTTCTATACATCTTTACGTTTAAGGGCTCTCTGAACATTTTAGCATAACTTGGAAAAAATGTAACTTTTACAGAAAAAAACCAATGTGTATAAAATTGGGAAAAAATTTTTTTTGGGAAAATTTAATTAATATACTTAAAATATTTGCCAGTTTTCCTTAACTTTAACTTATACAAAGAATTAAGTTTAAGACTTTCCTTCTTTTCCTTTTCTGCACAAAGATATCTTCATTATTATTAAGGTATCTTTATATTTGTTAGTGTGATTATTACATTTATTTTTTACCTCATTCACGCTATCACATCTTTCCCTACTTTACACTAACTTACCTAATGCTTACTTATGTCAAGAACTAAAATCCGCGACGCCACGACAATCACATTGATAAGCCGTCACAAAGTAGGTGATATTGTATATTTTAAGCGACAACAAACTAACAAGTCATGAGGCCGAAAAAAAGCATAATCCATGTGGCATGTCTTAGCTCAATTGGTAGAGTGATGGCTTCGTACCGAAAGGGTACCGAGATCGAATCGTACCTCCAGCCATAAAACAGAATTCAGCTGTATGACTAACGTGGTGGTATGTATTTATTGCTGAATAACACAAAGTTAATATATAGATATAACAAACTAACAAGTCATGATTCCTAAAAAAAATTCCTCCTTAATTGGTAGAGTGATGGCTTCGTACCGAAAGGGTACCGAGTTCGAATCATACCTCTCCAGCCAGAAATTTAGCAGTACGTCTAACGTTGTGGTTTTTATGTATAGTTGAATAAAATGAAGTTAATATTTAGATATAACAAACTGACAAGTCATGAGGCCGTAAAAAGCATGATCAATGTGGAATGTGTTAGATTAATTGGTAGCATGATGGCTTCATACCCGAATCACATCCGTTCGAATTTGAGTAACCGTTGCTTTGTAATATTCTCCTGGTAGAATGGATTTAGTACGAAAAATATTCAATTCATTTATTCTACCAGGAGAACAGTCAGTAATTTTCGATGCCTAGTAACCGTAAGATTGTTATTGTTCTCCTGGTAGAATGGATTTAGTACGAAAAATATTCAATTCATTTATTCTACCAGGAGAACAGTCAGTAATTTTCGATGCCTAGTAACCGTTGCTAGGTTGCTTTGTAATCGTTAACCTCTAACACAAAATTTTCAGTAAAATTATTTTGCAACCGTTACTATTAAGCAACCGTTACTATGTATCCTATGTAATTAGATCCGCAATGATGTATGCTTCCCCTATTTGGTGTATGACAAACAAACAAAATATTAAGAAACTACAATCAGTACAAAATGCTTCATTAAGATTTGTTATAGGTCAAGCAAGGAATCCAATAATATACATTATATTAGCACAAAATTCTTACATGATTCCACTAATGTACTAATCAGTGAGAGATTTTATAACAATTATCTCTGAAAGATTTTATACTAATTGATTATTTAACTAAAATTCTAATATATGTAATATTGGATCGAACGACAATACATATTGGTACAATAAGTACGAGCTACCATCATCAATAATAAGATAATCACATATAAAATATAAAAGTGATCAAATTACTCCTAAACTATCCCTACAGCATATGTTATTAGTCTTTTGACTATTTTCCAATCATATATGCAATATGTATTATTTATTATTATTATTGTAAATATGGTTTTTAGTGATAATTTTTACCATGATTAAAAATTTATTTATAAGTTTTTCACTTTTTTATTAGTTAGTATTAAATATAAGTTTATGTATTTATATCTTAAGATGATTTTACATGATTATATAAATTGTATAGAAATATGTATGTATAAACTAATATAAATGAAATAAATAAATCTTTAAAAACAAAACTTGGTAAATTATTTATTGTAATTTATACTACTAAATTATAAAATATTAAATTTAATCAAAACTAAATAATTATAATATTTAATAAATTAATATATACTAATGTATTATAACTTTGTACCTGCATGTTATTTTTTACAGTTTAATCAATTTAAGTTTTTTTTTTATTTTATTTACAAATATCGTTTTCAGATTCAGTAAAATATCTTTGAAAAAATCTGGGGATAGTAATCCATGGATTTAGCTTGATAACATATTCAATATGGTTTTAACCTGATATCATATTCAAATTGGGTAAAATAGGTTTAAAAAATTCGAAACCTAAAACAAGAACGACTGCCTTCGCAACCGAAGCCATATAACGATCTCGTCTACTTCACCGCTGGTTAACAGTTAGTTGAATTCGGTTCATGTGTTAACAATTACTTCACATGCCTCCCACGTCCTTTAACTTGTCGAATAAAAAACTCCTTCGGATTCGAACCAGCATCCTTCGGATTAGAGTCTAGTTGAGCGCTCTAACCGATTCGGCCACGGCGACAAAGTTTTTCCGAAGGCTAATATTGGAAGGACATTATGCGAGACCATCCGACAATCGACCATCATGATTCAAGTCAAGGTCACAGGGGGATGATATGAAAATACTAAATTTTCACCCAGGGGGTTGAAAGTGGGCTCATTCGATTCCTCGGGTTCTGGCGAATTTCAAGCGGGGGGTTACAGGGGGGAAAATTTTGTCCGTTTTTCGCTCAGGAAACAGAAAATCGACTTTTTGTAAATTTCACGTGTTTTCTATGGGAATTTTTTAAAAAGATTTTGCGTTTTGAGTCAGATTATGTGCTGACCTTAACGACATGGTCGAGGTTCTTGATATG